GTACGCTTATCGTGCTTATTTCTAGAAATTCCCTGAAGAAAAGATGATTATGTGATGAATGGAAACTAAAAAGAAACGAAGCTGACCTCAAGCAGTTTCTTCTCTTTGCTTTTCAGATGCTTCAACTCAGATTCGAGATCAAGACCTTGCGCTCCGAGCGACCTTAGAATATTTAACTATAAGAATCGAAGAAGATGGTAAATTCTGACGCTTCTATAATTTATTTGACTGAAAATATGGATAGAAGAAAACTGGATTTGCCCTTACAAACTAAAAAGTGGATGAGGCCCAGTTGAGATGAATCAATTCCTGGGCGAAACCAGCAGGAACAAGCTTATTTTACGCCTATTGTGTGAGATGAACCTTGCGGAACCATGAGAAGGAAATTTGAACCCGAAAAGGCTCAAAATAGGGGAAAAATTGCAGCCAATATTAAATGATGGCAATATTGGGACACAAACAAGATTGCAAAACTGTCCGTATCATTCAAAGGAGGATTGCAAAAATGAATAAATCGTCAAGATTTGCAGCTCGTTTTGAGAACTGTTTTCAGTATTTCCAATAAAAGAACAGAGCTAAAGAGTAAAACGTCCTTGAATCATGCAGAAATACTCACTTTGAACTACTTTTTGCCAGCTTGCGGCGTTCCTCCTTCAGTTCTTCTTGCTCCGTCTTTGCAGGCGGCTGTTCCAGCTTTCTGTTAAGAAATGTGAAAATATCAACATCCACCGAATTATGCGTTTGCTTCATCCCTTCACGTACTCGTGATTTCATCTAAAACACATGCTTGCACTTGGTGGCTCATTCGAAGCAAGTAGCAGCAGCAAGAACAAGAACCCACTCTTTGAATACCATCTACAACTTTTGTTTTAGCCGTCATGCATGCATCAACAGAGCTATCTGTAAAATCCATGTATAGAGGCAACAATAAAATAGATTTCAAAAATGACAAAAAAAAACAAGAAAAATAAGATATATATGATTCTTGTGAAAGATCTAAACCCACTTTTAGGGACAATTTTCGCTTGAATCGCGTGGACGATTCCGTCACTATTCTTACCAAGGCCCTGAATAACGTATGCATTTCTAACCGTAAACTTCAACAAAGACCGTCATGATCAATACTAAGAAAAAATAAAAATTACCTCTCCCAACTTGTACCCCATTTTTTGCATAAGCTTCAAACCAAATCCGCCACCATGCCAATTTCCGAGATCTCCTACTGTAACATTTCCACATCTTTGCCCCTTTTGCTCATTCCAATACTCTCTGCCACTATTCTCGTCAAGTGTATCAGCTTCTTTTGATTTCAGATGGGATGACATTTCAGTAACATCTGAAAAAAATGACTTCAAATAATTGTTTACAGTTATTTTATAAGGAATAATGGGCAGTAAAAGTACCTTCAACATCTCCTTCTAGAGCGACTATCTGGTCCAATTTGGAGGATACTTCGACATTGCTTTTCAGCACTCTAACAGCAATATCATCCTTGTCCATGGCTATAAGCCGACCAACCTCCCATAATGGAGTAGGAGCGTTGACAGACACCAAAACAAGGCTTCCAACAGTCAGTGAACTGCAAGCCATTTCGGGTTAAAGAGGAGACTTGCAGAATTTAACGTTGCACTACTTAACTGGTACAGCCTAAGCTAATATACTTCAGTTATCGGATAAGACTATGCCGTTTTCTTCAAACTCAAAAAAAGTCCAAAAAACTGGAGTTTTTAGAACTTTTTGTACACGTTTTTGAAGAAGAAGTCTCGTCGTACAAGACAGCCTGATGGCTTACCCTCCTGATTTACTTCCTACTAAAAGAAACCGACAGCTTATTTTTTAAGCTCAGAAGCTCGCAAGCTATATAATAACACTTACTGGTGACTGGCTGTTCTAATAAATATTCTACTCCCCAAAATAGAAACTTGATGTAGGATTGCGTCAGGTTACGCTGCGGTGAAAATCACTAACTTGTAATAAAAGTAGCCTACTAGGGTAAATTGCCATGCTGAACATGGAAAGTTTAGGTATATCAATAGACCTTCTAGGATGTAAATATACATTGAAAGGGGTCGAAATTACCATTTGTCTGAAAAAGACAGTATGAATAAGTTTGTGTCTACTGTGCAAAATGGCTCTGCCAAGGGAATGGAATTTTGCAAACAGCATGTCAATAAACCAAAACGGTTAACTTGTGGAGCGAATTAGTGAATTTGACGTATGCAGCGAAACCTAACTAATACTTCGGTAAGGTTCTATCGTGGGAAATAGATATGTTTTCTTAAGCTGCATATCCAAACAGCGTCTCTTGCGAAGTAATTGTACATGAATTTCGTAATCTGCGTATCCAAATTACACAAGTGACGTTAGAGCAACTTCCAAACTTACACCATTCAAAAAAGTTACTGTCCTGAGTTTTTTTCTCCCCTATTATTCTAAACCATATTCATTTCAACGAAACCGAAATCACTGGATAAGCCAAGTACATCAATGTATAGAAGAAGATTCTTCCTATAAAATGAGATATTAAGTGTTGCAAAAACTCCTTTTCTGGATTTCATTTTAGTTTGAAAAAAAAGGCACGAACACACCATATAATGATCACATTCAAAGGTGAAATAAGCTTTTTTTGGCAGAAACTGGCAACAAAAAATAACTAACTTAAAGTCTGGATCTTTGTATTCATTGAGATCAGCCAATGGTACAATTTCTCCATGACTGAACTTGCAATTT